AGCAGGCCCTATGCTCTTGTAAAAGGCAATCTGCACTTTCCTTTCCTTCCTTCGCCTGTTCCCACTCCCCACAGCCTAGGGTGACTAAGATGTGATAAATGATACTCAGTTCCTGCATGTCAGTCTCTATTTTCATGTCAAGTGCTAAAAAGGTGCTATTTATCAGTCTTGGAGCTAAGTCGGACTTCCCCTTTTCTGCTTCCTCCTCAGTCTGACACTTGCTGCAGAATCAAGGGCAGATCGGTGCTGGCCTCTAGAAACCTGCCAAGCCCAGACTCCCTGCAGACTGTACACGTTTTGTATGTCCTTGCCTGACACTGAAATTCAGTCAGACTGAACAGGGTTGGACACACATAAACACATACACTACACACATCAGTGGCCAAGATTGCCCAACACAGTGTTGTGGAGACTTGTTTATTCAAGGCCAAACAAACAGCCATTTTGAAAACATAAACTCAGTAAAAGCAAAAGTGTTTATAGCTGGAAAACTTTGTCTCCAGACATTGCTTAGAAAGAGAAAAAATATTTTAAAAGAAAAACCTGAAATAGTTCAATGTTCAAATGTAAAAACCTGAAATAGTTCAATGTTCAAATGTAAAGACATTTCGTGTGGCCCTGTCCTGCTTTGATGGTCATATATACTGTTTTATCTGAAACGGATAAAATTAATTTGTCTTATTCGCTTCCGTTCAGTTTCCACCCTTTCTATACAACAGTCTTAGATGTTGACTATCTTTATACAAAACCACAAAACTAGATGGGTGAGTCAAACTACGAGCCCATAGCTCAGTATCCTGCCTCTGACAGCAGCTGGCATTGGATGCTCAGGGAAGACTGTAGCAGGAAGATTACATCAATAAATGTGTAGTGATTTTTCTCCTAAATGCAAACCACTGAATACATACGAACATTATTTATTTGAAAATTAAGGAAACTGCCTGGTTTTTATCTGCTTTTTAATGCTGTTACAATTCCAAAAGCCATAGCACCACAATAAAGCAAGTTAAGTATTACACAACAATGAACTATCCCTAACAATTAACTATTGCCTTAGTATCTGCAAAATTGTATTTGAAATGTCTCCTTTTGCAAGCCTCAAAGGCAATCTTGTGGTTCCTCTAGGTCCTATTAGAAAACCAGCTTCTGGATCTGGCAATGAGAAAAGAGTAGGAGTGACCCACTTAAAAGACCCAAAGTCTATCACATCATCAGCATCAAACCCTGCTTGAACACGGGCCAAGACTTGGTTCGTTCAGGCCTCTATGACAACATCTATACTAGAACATTAACTGGACACATGGAGGTCAGCTGGTCCAGAGCAGCCATGTCCAGGCTAGTAAACTGGTTAGTCCTAAAACTGGAAGGCTGCAGCAGTCTGCCTTTTGAGACTAGTTCCTTGACTTCCCTCGCTGCCAACCCACACTCATGAGCTGTTGGAGGAACCTGCTGGTTGGAACAGGCCAAACTCATTATTAAGAATGTGCTGGTGAGTTGGCCAGCACCAATGTTCATGTTTCAGTGACCTGGGTATGCCTGAATTTACAGAGAAGCAGTCTGTATCTTCACTGTGCTGCATCCCTTCAGACTCTTTACCTTAGGGCCCCTAAACTGTTGTTATTCCAGCAGTGGAATAACAGTAGTGAGTCTCCACTTTAGAAAAATGGGACTTGTCAAAGTAGCTGTATTTGACCTGAAGAAACACTGTCTCTTCACCATTTGAGAGGACTCTGTGCTGTCAGGCCTGTCACCTGCTGCTGCACCTCCTGTGAGTCCAGGGTGATAAGGTTACTGGGAAAGAGGCACTCTCAAAGCAGGCAGCACTAACACTTCTACTGAAAACCACGGCTAATCATCTCCTGTCTGCAGCATCTTTATACCCAAAGTCCCAGGAAGGGGCCTATGCAAAGACCTGGAATAAAGGCTTTGGGACTGTTACTCTAATGAACAATCAGAGAGAAAGAAACCTGCTGAGACTGAAAAAGCTGCCTGTCCTCCGAAGGACCCTTGAGGCAACTCAGGGGCTTTTCTGGAAAACAAGTTGAAGTACAGTCACAGCCCAGCAGGAGTCCTGGAATATGAACTAAAAAGGGATTTATAACAAGAAAGAAAAAGGGATATTTGAATAATCACTTACTCTTACCTAAAAACACAGGCTTTATCTGTTCAGCCATAACCCTGCACCTACAAGTGTTTAGCTCATGCCTCATGGATGCGTTGGCCAGTTAAATGCAATCTCCTGATAAATGCAAATATGCGATGATAGAAGAGTTTAACATAAACACAAAACCATCTCAAGTCACAGTTTGCAAATTATAAACTTCATTTCCCATGACCCACTAGAAACTCAAAAGCAAATTCCTATCCCATTTATATTTATGTTGACACTTGAAGTCAACTGAGATTACAGGTGTTAACTGCTGAACTGACAATCACAACAGAAGCAGGGACAATGTATCTGTATCACTGAAAATACATGATGGACCGGAAATCATTTCCAGCAGAGAACATAACAGAGAATAATATTTATGTCAGACTATAATTAAGAGCTACTATCTGTAATAGCCAGCTTCCACATGAAATTAAATACGAAAATTGCTTTTGAGTCTAAACAGTTACATTGGTGGTTCTTCAGTGACTCAGCAAAGTGAGGATTAACGGTGACTATTTGCTGCAGAGGATGGGTGTCTACATTTTTAAACTACAGTCCTCAATTAACAAGCCCAAAAGTTGGAACTAGCCCTCAATCTCCTCCTTCTTCCAAGCTGATGCCTGTTCATTTGTGACAGTACAGCATGAATTCTCATCCTGCAAATACTGTTCTTGTAAGAGAACAGAAGTTTTGTTTCTCTTGGGGTTGTAATTTGGCATCTGTGATCAGCCATAAAGTGTCAGTAACAGTAAAATTATTTAAAAGAAATAGAAGTATTTAAAAGATAACTAGTGAACTTGTGATTTTCTTTAAGGCTGACAATTCTGCTCTAGCCAGAATGTAAACAAAGCAAAGGGATTTGTGTCAAGGGGCTGGCTTTTCCAAACACTGCCAGGAACTTCCTAACAAGGAGGAATGCCTATGACCACAGCTTTAAATATGCTGAAGACCCAGCACTCCAGCAGCTCTGCACTCTCTATCAATATATAACAACATTCATGCAATCTGACATCAAAGTCACCTCTTTATGTTCCTTGGTGTTTAGTCACTTCCCTTTACTAGAAGTAGTAGGAATGTCAAATCTAAAAACTCTGAGAACAGCAGAGAACAATATGAAATGGCTAGCAACAGGCAAGGAATCATGAAGCTACAGCTCAAGGATGGTGGGGAAGCAGTGTGAATGTCTAGAGGTTAAACTATCAAGGACAGGAAGTAAAGAAGCATGGAGCCGGAATCTCTCAGCATGCTAGATATATGAGATATGAATACTAAAGGTTGAAAAGCAGAACACATTTCTGGGAAGTAGGAGACGAGTTTAAAAAAAAAATAAAAAAATAGAGGCTTGAAAACAAAGTTCATTAGTGAAACTGGGAGCCCTGCCCTCTCCCTGGACCTTTGTGCAATTTTAAACACAATTTGATAGCAGGGTCCTTTACAAGGATGCACCGAACTTAATCCCTGTTTACATAGGAGAGTAGCTCTGTCCCAAGAAAAATGAGTGGGTGTTGAGGTTGTATTGTGTTAACCCTGGTTGTGCTAGTGAAAATAGTCATGCCATGTTCTTTGCCTCTCTAGCAGTGACAGACCTAATCCTTTAGTTTGGGTGGATCCCCTGCCAGGGCATTGAGGGCTGCTGTGCAGACATCATATACCTCTGGTTCCAGTTCCACCTGCAGTGTACCACAGCACCCAGCTTGGTGCTGGCATGCACACCATCAACACTTAGCACAGGAAATACAGCTCAGAAGGAGCCAGAGGGGTACAGAGCCCTGGTTGAGAAAGCAGTGCTAGGTTAATGGTTGGACTCGATGGTCTCAGAGATCTCTTCCAAGCTAAATGATTCTACGAGTCTGTGACCCTACTATCCCAGCCTAAGAGTCGCTCGGGCCTATCTCTCTCCTTCCCCTAGGCTGGCACTTATCCATGGGGCACTCCAGTCCCCCAGGCAGAAGACCACTCAGGGAAGAGCCCTTGTAGAAGCTCTCACTTTACTCTCGCATCCATCCCCTTTTAATTCCACTCTTACTATATGGCTTGAATTTCTCATTCTTGGCCATAATTTTGACTCTAAACCTAGACTGGGCTCTAAACCAGGGAATCAACCACATCCCCAGGTCACACAGTGTTGAGGAAACCCTAACAAGAGCCTTCCAACTATTCTGGCAACCCCTTTTGAGTGCCCCTCTCTCACTGTACATCTAGGATTTATGTTTCTTGGATTCCTAACCCTAATACCTGCACTGAGTCTTATGCAATGGGATACACAATGAAACTTGGTGAAGTTTAGATGGGGATGGACCCAGCAGTCCCCAATGGCAGAGCTACTGCTGTTCTCTAGTAATGCCGTGGTAAGTACTCAAGTGGACTGTATTATGAGAAACATCTGTGCATGATCCATCAGTGCCTCAGTGCATTTAGAAACTAATATTCAATTTAGTTAATAAATTGGGAGATGAGGACACCTACAGGAGGTGGGCTAAGGGATCTTCCCCAGGCTGTTCCTTAATCATTGCTTCAATAGCATTGTTGACATCCCATCATCCCGACCCTGTGCTGCACAGAACAACTGGTAGGTCTGGAGAAGACTGACTGATACTGCTCTAGGTCCAGCCATAGCTCTTCTGGCATTGATGGTGTTGATTTTTTAACCTCTGCAGCTGAGCAACACTCAGAAACCTGTGGGTTGGTCTGGTCACGCCTTTTTGTGTATGAAGTGATGCCTGCTAGCTGATGCCTGCAAGCAGCTGGTGCTGTCTGCTGTAAGGGGCCTCAGACAAGAACACACCCAAGAACATAATTTTTGCAACTGTGATGGAGACATCCCAGACAGGGCAGATAAACTGGTAGACACCTGCAGAAGCCCCTCAGGGACTCTTCCCTAAATCTTAGTATACTTGCACAATGTCTTAATATATGCATTAGATTCTCTGGAAATGGGTGTGTACTTCTTGGAAATTACATGAATATTCATTTCTTCTATTGTATACAGTAAGTTTGCTCTTGTCTTTCAGCATGCACATTAGGTGGAATGATCCGCCCTGTATCCAGTGCTGCAATAAAGAATGCCTGCCTTCTGAAACTTCAAACTAAGTCTTAGAGGGTTCTTTTGAGACCAAATTTACAGTCACAAAAGAATGGCGCAAAGCAAGTTATCCTGGACACTGCATCCATCAAACAGCAGCTAACAGTTTTCTTGATCTCAGTCCTAATGTTCTTCTAGCCCCAAAACCTATCTAAGTACCAGGACTATATCACGCTATCAGGCTTTCTCACCTCTGTGTCCCTGCTTGCCTCTTAAATCAGCCTGTTTCTCTTACCTCTGTCTCATGAACAACAGCACTAAACAAAGTATCTCATACCCAAGCACAATAAATGCTGTCCTCTGTTCTTCAAATATATAGGAAGCTACAGCAGTGTCTGGTGCTCAGGTGACTTTCTCAAGGTGAGGGGAGCAGAGTGCAACAACCCAGTAGCAGAATCCCCGTTTGCCCCAGTGTATACAGGACAGTCATGTAAACCTTGCTATCCTTAGCAAAGCAGAGGCTGACAGAGATAGAAATGACTTATCCACAGAAAGATATGAGTGATTAATTTATGGCTATAGAGCAAGTCAGTGGCAGAATTAAGAATAAACCCAAGGAGGAAACCTTCTTCCTCACTCCACCTGTAAGAAAACACACAGCTCTCTTTCCACAGTCAAAAAGCTAACACAACTAAGAGTTCAAAGATTAAAATGCAGTATACATATCAAAAAGGCACTGTGTCCTCTCTGCAGAGGTCTTAGAAACACATACCACAGTTTCAGAGACAGTCAGGGGATAAAATTCAAATCCACTTTTAAAGTCAGACAATCAAACAAACTTTTGTCTTTACCTACACAGAAGTCTTGTTTTCTATATAGGTGAACTTTTTACTCTTCCCTTTATGATTATTTACAAAACTAAAACAAAGCGAAGGTTTCATGCATCAAGCATGTCCTTTTATCTAAGAAAATGAGCAAAATCATATGTAGCACTGATTTTGGGATCATTTATTAACTGACCTTAATTTTGATTCCTCAAAGTATACTGTATGGCTTGCTGTTTCACCACTTGCAGAAGAATTTATGTAAATAAGATTTAGAGGCTGATGGAGATTGTCTATTTAGAAAAACAGAAGTCTAGAAGAGCTCTTTTGAAGGTGTTTATGATGTACAGTCACCTGAGTGCAAGAGCAATCTTCTAGTGTTTAGTATTTCTCCTCACTACACTCCTGTGAAGTAGGAAAGCCTTCATTACAGAAAGGGGAAACTCAGGCTCTGAAAAGCTACATGATTAGTGGCAATCCAGCAAAGCATTTAAACATGCTTACTGCCTTCTGTGAGATTCCTTACATACTTGATTTAGGCACATGCTTAAACACTCTGTGAATCCCTTGTTCACAGAAAGCTGACATACCCTTGGAGATGTTCAGATAAGATGCAAAGTGTCAGGCAGTCAGGGGAAGCAGATTTGGTTCAGCTGCTTTTCCATGCAAACCAGAGAGCATAAATATTAGCAGGATGAAACTGAGCTGACTGTTGGTCTACAAGTCCTCTCATAGCTTTGGGGAACAGCATTTCAATAACTTCAAGCTAATATCACCTTAGATACCTAAGGTTGCCAACATCTTTTTCTCCATTATGGCTTGTTCAACAATTCCTAAACTTCTGAATATGAAGGATCCTATACTTGAATGATAGCCCAGTCCAGACACAATTCCTACTCTCACTCTGTCTCTGAGCTTCTTAGAACAGGAGTTGTTGATAGCTAACAGACATATATTTATACTGCACAACAGAAATAACACTGCACATGACATTCATCTGAATCCATCTTATGCAATAAAGTATATTTTAGTTTAACCAACAGTAATCCCACAAATCACATTCGTTTCCCATCAAAGTGGGAATAAAAATTTATGTTTCCCCTCAGGCAATCATTTTACTTATTCTCCAAGCTTGAAGGCACCTTTTGTGACATTCACTATTCAATATTTTATATTCTGATTCAACATTATAAAGTTTTAGTGTTTTGGATAACAGAACAACATGATGTTCCATTTTCATAATATTCCTGTAAGCCCTCAGATACCATACTGCATATGATATGATCCCACTGACCTCCCTGCATTTAGTACAGGTTGACACTGAATGAAGAACTGCAGGGTTTATTTTGAATTGGTCCCATGGTACAAAACAAACTTCAGCCTGGGAAATCTGGCAATTGAGAACTTCACATGCATAAGGTGAATTGTTGGATGGTAATTTATCTGCTCCAGCTAGCTCTGTGTCTTGCTTTCAGACATGGCAGGCATGAACCTGGTGCCCCTGGCAGGCAGTTTGCTTCAGGCTGGCTCTACCACCACCAGGAGCAAAGCAATAGAAGAAGAGGTCATGTCCTACTGGGTCCCAAATTTTTCTTCTGGGTCCTATTTCACAGTTATGTTCAGTACTTCTGGAAATACACCAAGAAATCTGGTTCAGGATAAGAACAGCCTGTTCCAAGACAGTTTTTTTCATCTCAACATTCCAAATGTTCTTGAATGCTTGGCTCTGCATCCAAAGCAGAAACTCTTAATTCCGTTCTAACGTTATGCAAGTACCAGTCTCATATGACTGCGAAATTTTATTGTGACAATATTTCTTACAGACTTGGGCATTTGAAACAAGAAAAAATAAAAATAAAAAATTAAAGCAGCAAATAATGAATAATGGGAAATCTGGTGCATTCAAAAAGCACCACTAGAAAAGCAGCCTCAAAATGGAATTTCTCTTGTATTGAAAAGAAACACATCCATCTTCCATTTTCAGGGAACAAGAAAGTGTCAGCTTCTGCAAATAAATTAAAGATCAAATCAGTCCAAACTATCTTTCAAAGTGTATTTAACTGAATACAAATGTCTAGGCCATTTTCTGTAAACAGCTACATGCAACCCTGTGGTGTCCCACACAGATAGGTCAAATAAAGAGAAGAGAGTGGGGAGTATGTCTGTGTAAAGCTTTGAAAGGTGAATCAACACCAGATGAAGTTCTGAAATGCACTGCTGAATTTTCTAGAGGATCACCTGAGGGGAGACCAAGTCAAATCAATAGCATCCACCTCATAAAATCAAAGGGATTAGAATCCAAGCTCAAAGGCAATATACAAACTTACATGAAGCAATTATCTATGACAGATTTTAATTTCTAGGTCAAATACAAATATACACCAAATATTTCACTGGAAGTCTATAGTAACTGAATCTATATTCTTCTAGTAGAAAGATGTCTCAGGATGCAGAGAATCATGCTTTCCATGTGTCCTTTCAGCTGACCAGCAGTAATGCCAACTTCTGTGATTTTATTCCAAGATGTGCAATATATAACGTTTCTCTCAGGGATGCTGCACGAGAATATTTTAAAAATCTAGAATCAACACCTTCTTGGAAAGACCTCATGAATGCTCACCTGACTTGGAGCACTTGGATCTGGTAGAGTCAAAATAAAGTGTCTTTCCTTCATGTATCTGGGAGCCTAGTCCCAAATCACAGTGGTGTTGATCTACACGACTGTGTAAGCAAATGAATTCCAGGAGCCATTTCAAGGCTCTCCTTCCTTAAGCTGCTCAATAGCAGATGCTTTCACTTAAAGAAACTTCTGTCAGAGAATGCATAGCTTCCTTAGTCTTTATCTTAAAATGTCCACAGGCAAATAGCTTTGAAGACAATGATCTCCCAGTATTGAGGTCAACCCAGGTTCTTCTGCTGGTTTCTGCAGACCCAGACAGAAGTTTCTTACATGAGTCTCAAGAAATAATTCATTTCTACCTCAGAGGATCTTCTTTAGTTGGTCTTTTTAATCTTCTTTTCTGAGGTTCTGTATTGGATCCTCCTTCATGAGCTCTGTGCAGTTTTCAATTCACGCATACTTCATCTTGCTCTCAGGCTGAAGCACCCAATATCCAAGGTTATTGACTGTCACCTTCTGGTCACTCACCCCAGCAATTTACACTGATTTCTCTCATCTTGACTGCCAAGAGCTAAAAACTGCATGATCTAAGAGCAAATGCTTCACATGGGTAAATGACTGCAGAATCAGAAAGGATAAAGATGAAAGCCAGTTGGCAGACAGCCATTAGTGGGAGAGACATTCTGTTTCCCCAAAAACACTTTCAAAAGGAAAGAGGAGATTATTAAAGGTATCATTAAATAGGTTCACTGCTCTTTAAGAACAGCAGTATCTGGTTTTAACTGGAAGGATAAAAATAACATGAAATACTGTTATCAGTCACAAAACCAATCAGCTACAGCTTAGTGCATCCATATTATGGCTCTGAACTGCCTCCCTTCTTAAGTCTATTCTTTATTATATTTCATTTTATTAAGCAGCTTAGAGCTGCATTTACTTGTTTAGGGATTTTTTGAGTACTGGGGTTACTAAAGGACATGGATACTAAACTATCCAAAACCATCTTGCTGTGGTGACAGCTATATGGAATCCTTGGGAAAACTCACCTACACAAATCCTGTAGATGGAGAAGCTGCCTTTCAGGCACACAGAATGAGCAATCACATTTGTACGTAGCCAGCACAAACCAGCAAGGAATATCACTGTCTCTGCTGTGGAGGGACAGATGCTTCTCCACCACGCTGTTAAATATGCCATTAGGAAGACACTAGGAAATGTATGGGAACACAATAAGGCATTTGTTCTGAGAACAATGTTTACCTGACATATATCAGATTCTCTCTATAAGGCCCAGACTCTACATCTGGAAATGCACAGAATGTAGAGGTGGATCTGGGGCTCTGTAACGAAGTCCACAGTTAGAGGAGCATTTCATAGGGAGCCCACTCCTCCCTGTAGGGCTATATGGTGCAGTATGCACAATATCCATATAAAGGCAATCCCCCTTCTTCAGCGCCCACGTCCAGCCCTGAGTATAGAACTGCAACTCAAATAAGAAAAGGTGACACTGTGGTCAATGGCACTTTGCAGAAACCTGGTGAACTGAGAAATAGGAATGTCAATTTGGCAAAGTATAAATAGCAAACGGAGCTCTAACTGCACGCTTCAAGTATTAGTAAATGCTGAGCTAATTCATACTTATCTTACTGCATCAAGATCTCACTTTAGAAATATGGGGAAATATTTAGAAACAAATTGAAACCATAGTTATCAGCTTGAAGCACCCTTTCCTTCAAAATCAACAGGAAAAAGCTTTGCACAAATAGAACGTAGTGGTTTCCCCCCCAGGCTAAGCTTGCTAAACTGAAAATCAGAATATGGATCACCAGCAGCTAGAATGGAAAGTGGTACATTAAATGTTGCTTTACTTCTTGAAGTCCAAATCCCAGACCTCAACCCCTATATTATTAAAGCAAAACTCAGAAAGTAGTTTCAGTAGTAGTGTATTCAAACTTCCTCAGACTCTTGATACAAGGGTTGCTTTAGCTCCCTGAATAATGCATTATGTTTATACACTGCTACCAGTACTCATATTTTATTGCAAGCCTTGAAATTTTGAGATTACTTATGCCTCAGGCTTCTAGATTCATGTGATTATGCAAGAAATCCAGTTTTAATTAAAAACAAATTTCTACAACTTCATGTGGAGAAGATCATCTTCAAAAGTTGCAAAACTCAAAGTACACATAAAAAGGTACAAAATACACCTCTTATTAAATCAGGCTGTTCTTTAGGCAAGGGTTCCCAACCCTTTTTTTCACCAGAGACCCCCTTTAAATACCTTTTGTGGCCACAGACCACCAAGACTTAATTCAAGATTTAAAGCACTAGACTGCATCAAATATTTATTTCAATTTTCTCATGAAGGGTCTTCAAATTTGGAGAGAATTCATGTTCAGTTAATGCACATGCTCCTATTATAATATCTTTATTGCAATGACTGCCTATGAATTTAAAATAATAGCATCAACACTCTTCTTGCTCAAATGGCTCGTTTTATAGTATTTCAACATGTTAATTCCAAATTTGATGCCAATTTCTTCATTAAAATTTGATTAAAAGTTTTTACAATTCTTCTCACCTCCCCTCTTGTTTGTCTGTGTTCAGTCACCATATATTTTTGTTTATGGGTCCAGGGCCACCACTTGGAGGAACAGACTTCAGCCCTGTTGTGGCTCTAAAGAGGGCTGCTGGGTTAAGAAAATGTTTTTAAGAGAAAAACCGCCTAGTTAAAGTGGGTCCCACCAAGCATAGTAGCACTGAATATACTGGTGTGTCAGGGCAGGCATGGGGGGCAGGGGAGAGGAGCATTGAGGGGAGGGGGGTGTGGGCAAAGGAGGTGCAGTGCTTGCCACAGGCCAGACCAAATGTTTCTGGGCTGGATGTT